CCACTGGTCGGGGATCCTTTCCTTTGAAGGTAGAACGTTAGATGTTCCGCAAGTATCTCGTGTAGGCGATGTCCTCCAGCTCGTAAGAAGTCTTCCAAAACATGGCCCGGTCCCGGAGCACTGGCTGCCTTCCTGAATTGCGGCGCGTACTTTAGCAAGTAAAATCCATGGTAATACTTCTTCAGTGGGAATAACGGGGTTTGCCACAGATTGTTGTTGAGCACAAGAGGTTGATGTAAACTCTTTTATGATCGCTTTTTTGTTGAAAAGATGTGCGAAGCCCGTCTTTTATAAATGTTGTTAACGCAATACGATAGCCGAAAAGGTCCCATTAATACTTTTTTAGAATTCTTCTTCCTACCGCTGCTTCCACTAGTTTTAATTGAGTGTACTTCCAAAGATCTTCTTCCAAAGCTGTTCTGCAACTGTGGTTAGCTATCAATTGCCGAGATGTGATGCAGTCAGTCTTGCCTCAGTGCTTTCCTCTCCAGCAGGTCCTTGGTAACTTTCGAAATGAGCTTCAAGTTCCTGTTCGAAACACTTAGGCGTTTTCGCCCCAAGCATTCAGTCGTCTGAAAAGCAGGTTGTAGGACTTTCGGGTCTTCCCCGATGGCCACTAGCGTGGTCAGGAGCCTCAATCTGACGCCCTCATATACGACTTCTCTCCTTCCTGCAACACGATGGAAGACATTCTTTTCCAGCTTTCGGCGGAATCGCACCTTTTATCGGGGGAAACAGTGATATGAACTACTGTGAAGGTGCCACTGGGGCGTCCATTAAGCGCCGCTTTAGTTGGTGAGAATGGTCGCTCGGTATGAGTCGTACCGTTGGACGGTTTCTATGCCCACCGCCGGTGTTCTTTCTTCATGAAAATGGAGTTGCCACGGAGGAATCGTGAGGCGGATAAGAATCCAATGAGACAGTACCATTTCGCTGCAGGGTCCCAGCTGAGATCTCCCGACCTTTTACTTTAACTCTTCTGAAAATTCCGATCTTCATGTTAAGCCACCCACGATAAATAGAAAGAATTCTACTTGCGGATGACTTCATCCAATTTCTCATAAAAGGCATTCAGTTCCACGTGGTCAAGTGCCGAAGCTGTTGATGATTGTTGGTTCTCTGATGCAGAGGATGGAGCTGAAGGATTCCCAATCGAGATACTACGATATAATGCAAATCGACAAGATGAACAACAGATGGGTGTATTACAAATCCAACGCCTCTGTTTCCAGTGATGGAACTCCATGAATGATGAGTGTGTAATAACTGAGCTGCCTCGCGTCCATCTCCCAGTGTTTCCTGTAAGGCTAATACGTGGTAGTTAACGCACCCTGCAGCTTCGAGAAGAGCGCGAAGGGCGCGTTGGCAGAGACTGACCTGGCGTTGTAGGTTAGCGCACGAGACATCCTACCAGGAGTCGCGTGCCCTTTTGGTCCGTTATGTGGCGTACTGTGCAACTTGATGACATTCAACGCCTGAGATGTGATCTAATGTGCAGAGCTTTCTTTCTTTTACATGCTGTTCAAGCAATAAAATTAATCCTTCAACGTAGTAGCTTGCCAGGCCCTGCCAAGCTCTCACTACAGGCAATTGCTAACCTATACGGCTCGAGGAACCACCTAACGACTAAATCAACCAAACGGTGGTGCTTCTGGCATGGCCTACTCTTCGCTGGGCATCCGGAAGGCCGAGAACTTCAAACTTCTTCTTAGTTTGGAAGGCGCTGCTGGAGGATAAACCTCCGTTATACGTCGCAGTCCGACACCAGCGTCACCCCCGCGCCACGATGAGGAGGTAAACCATCACGGGGGCACACGTGGTACAATTGCAAATAATCTACTTACGCAGCAAAATGGAGCGGATAATATGTTAGACTAGAAAAACATGACCCTTCGCGACCCACTCCCTATCCCATTCTCCCTCCCCCCATCCCCCGCCACCCCTTCCCCCTTCCCTCTCTATGATCCTTGGTCTTGAGTTGTCCTTCTCAACGATATTTTCCAGAAAAAAAAA